AAAAAAAAAAAAAAAAAAAAAAAAAAAAAAAAATTTGCATTCGTGGAGTAAATTTGTGCTATATAGAACTCTGTTATGAACTGTTACTGTCCATATCATATATGAACCCTAAAAACAGTTTGAGACAAATATGAAAACTACCTATAATTTCTTTAAATATTTTTAGTCCCTTTGCTAAGGTAAAAGACATTTGCAGGATTTATACTGTCTTTCTTAGGCTGTTTTATTCCACATAACCTAATCCATCTGCTACATCAGATTGGCAGTTAGAAAAAAAAGCTAGTAGAATTAACTTCAATTTTATATTAAAAGCATTTGTTTAACTAAAATAAACTCATTTTATCATGCATATTTGTTGTTAAAACTCAAATGTTTAATGAAAATTTATGAAGCAAGTCTTATCTAATGCATGTTGATTTTGCAAAATTGGAAGAAAAAATGGTTTTTAAATTAGCTAATGGATCTAGAGCCATTTGAAACAACTGAAAGTTATCGCTACTTCATTCACCAGCAAGAGAGAAATCACTTCCATTTGTTTGAGATTATAAAAATGTAAAACTATTATTCTAAAAAATGACTCATCTCAAAAATTAAAAAGCAAAAGTGTTACATTTTTTAAAAAGAAGAGAAAATAATAATTACTTACTTGTAGAGTCAATTACCTTTATCAAAACACAGTACTTTGACTGGAAATAATGTGTAGTTCCAAATACTTTTAGTGTCTATCACATGTAAGACTTCCAGCTAGATTTTAGGGGACTAAAAACAAAAGTTTGTGTGACATAAGATTTTTATTTTCGTATATATATTTTTTTGTTTTGTTTTGTTTTTTGAGACAGGGTCTCACCATGTAGTTGAGATTGACCTAGTACTCACTATGTAGCCCAGGCTGGTCTCAAACTCATAGCGATCCTCCTGCCTCAGCCTCCAGAGTGCTGGGATTACAGGCATGTGCCACCACACCCAGCTATTTTGTTTTCATTTTAACTGACTACCAACTTGTGAACAAATTTGTTTGACCAAAGAATTTATCAAATTCAGACATGCCTCTGGATTGTAACATTAAGAACAAAATATTATGGCTGGCCTAAATATTTCCCCTTCCTTTCACTTAAAAATAATTGTCAATAATCAAAGGTGTCTAATTGAAAAGAAACCTTAATAAGATTCAAACATTGTCTAGATTGTCATTTTTCTATTATGTGAACATATTTTTAATTATGTAGATAAACTAGATAGTCTAGGCATAAAACATAACTCTTGTACACTAGGTTGTCAGTTTAACTAGCAGTACTTATTAGCATATTATACAGTATATGTCCCATTTGAACAAAGAAACAAAATGCAATCAATTCTCAATCAGAAGAAGTGAGAGATTTGCAGCATACAAGGTTTATAAATTAATAGTGTCTGCCCTTCCAAGGCTGGTAGTTGCATAGCTACTGAAAGTTGCAATTTACACTGATTTTTTCTTTTTTTGCACTGTATGTCATCTTCCAAGTTGTTTAAAAAATATTGTTATGCTTTTTTGTTGTTGTTGTTGTTTTTGAGACAGGGTTTCACTGTGTAGTTGAGACTGACCTGAAACTCACTATGTAGACCAGGCAGGTCTCAAACTCATAGCAATCCTCCTGCCTCAGCCTCTTAAGTGTTGGGATTACAGGCATGTACTACCACGCCTGGCTAATCATGCATTTTTTTTTATCTCTTCTTCCCATCCCTGTCATCCCAGAAAACAGTAACATGTACACACACACACACACACACACACACACACACACACACACACACCATTCATGCACTACTAAAATTGAAGGATTTGAACTAAACATTAGGACCTCGGCACCTCCAGAGAAGTTAGAATAGACAGGACATTTGTATAGTTCTGATCCTCAGCCAATAGACAGTACAGAATTTCTATAGAGAATGGACTTGAGGACAGTAAGTTTTTAAAAAAATGTTTTTGAAGCTACTGTTTGCACAGTAAGCATAATAATTTTAATAAGATTGTATTTTAATTTATGGTGGCTTTTAGGGTTAGTACTTTTTATAGCTTATGGAGGGACATGCTAAAGCTCTTCCAAGCCAGCTCCAGAATCTGCTGAAGGAAATAGAGGTGGGAATAACTTATAGGCAAGTAAGAGTAATTAAGAATTTTAAAATGACAGATTTTTCTAGAGAAGAAAGCAGTATTTGAAATTTGGTCTATAGAACTCTTTCTGTTTACATGTTCACAAAATGGTTAATTTTTCACTTGCTTCTAAGGATGAAAGTTACTTAGTAAAATTCTTAAAGCAACTTGCTAATATTAATGTATTAAATTTTAATCTGTTTCAGTAGCTTGCTTACTGCTAAAGAATCAGCTAATAAACGCTGTATGGTGTGGCAGTTAGAAAGCTGCAGAATTTCCTTGAACTCATTTTGGCTTAAAGGTAAATAAAAGTATAAGTGAAAACATGCAATGCGTAGAATTGTGAGATATTGTATTTCTTTGACCATTTCTTAACACAGAATATATATAACTTAGCACAAAGCTAGAATATCTAGTTATTTGCCAAAACATTCATTATATTAAATGCAGGAGTATATGACAAGGTCTTGGTCTTGTTGACTTTTCTGGTTAAAATATCTATGCATGGGACAAAAAGAAAAATAACAATGGTAGTGCATAAAACAATCCCATATATACAGTTTGTATTTCCAAGTCAGTGAATTGGTTGTTTAAAACTTCTACATAGCTGATATGAAAAATAATGTGTCAAATTTTTAGATTCCCAAGTTTTCCCAAAAGGCTATTCAAAAACATATTAACAAAGTTTATTAATAATTAATAAAGGGACCAGACACAAAGAGTTCATATGCTATCATTTCTTTCATATAAAATTCTGGAAAATTCAGTTTATCTACAGTTGCAGGAAGCAGAACAGTGGCAGGGGGTGGGAGGAAGGAGAGAGTTAGGAGGGCGGTATCATAAGGACACATGAGGATCTTTGGAGAGTTATAGATAAGATCATTATCTTGATTGTGGTAATGAATTCATGAACATATATGTAGGTCAAAATTTATTAAACTTTTTACTCTAAATATTTGCAGTTGATTGCATATCAGTTAAACCTCATAAAAGTTATTAAAATATGTACCTCATAGGATTATTTTAGGAATTACTCAAGAATAATCCATATAAAGCACTTGGCACAGTCAGATGGTTTTAGTAACTAGTGGTTACTATTACTAATATTAATACTTGTCAGTTTTTATTGTGATTATTACAATTGTTATAGAAAGCACCATTTCAAAATTAGGATTTTAAAGCTCATGTTCCTAATTTTGGGTGGGTGTTTACCATGCAAATAGTAATTTAAGTAGTTGTGCTACCTTATGGAGCAAGACTATATGTTAGTGTTTCCTATTTAGGCTAAAAAGTAAGGATGCAGGAAGCTCTGTGCCACAATAGCTAAAATGAGATTTATCAAAAGATCTGGATAAAATGTCTTGTTCAGGCTCATTATAATTAGAATTTTTGATTTAACATTTTTTCTCCTGTTCCGGGGATTGAACTCAGGGCCTTCACACTGAGTTACACACCCAGACCTTTTATTTTTCTTTATTTGAGACAGGGTCTTATTCTAAGTTGCTAATCTCGGTTCAAACTTGTGATCTTCCTACCTCAGACTCCCAGAGTGCTGCGATTACAGCCATGCACCATCACACCTGGTGCACTAGTAAATCTTACATTCTTTGAAATGCTATCCAATATATTAATTTAGTAGTTGACAGTGGTTAAAACAAAATGAATATGGTTGCCTCTCTTGCTAAACATAGAATAACTTTAGCTTCTTGATATGTCCAAATATTGAAATAAATCCTTTCTGTGACTTCTGTTGTTGCAGTAATTTGCAATTTTACAAATATTAGCATCTTGAAAATAAAATATTGCTATAACTTTAAGTATCACTTTTTTCTAATTTGTAAAAATATATTTCATAAAGAAATTCCATTGTAGTTCTGTTTTTCACTTCTTTTATCCTGTAAACTATTTCTATTTGTTTGTTGGGTTTTTTCCTAAGTGCCAAGAATTCAAGAGCTCAACAGCCAATATTCAGTTACAGAACTGAAAAAGATATTTTCTATTGAAGAAAAAAGGCTTGTGGTTAATTCTGTAAAAGCAAAGTGGTGGAAAAAAGCAGGACCAAATCCAATAAGAAGAGAAACTTTGGAATTTCTAAATACATATTTGTGTCCTGGTGATCTGTCTTCTAATAACACTAAAATGGAGAAGTTTTTGCCTACAAAAGCACTTCCATTAGAATGTAAGTACCTAATAGTAACTATAACTTGTACCAACATTTTTAGAATGAGAAAGTGTTAGATACTGGGTTTCTTCTTGGTGATTAGGGAAATATAAAGAAGTTCTAATATTCAATATTGGCTCTGTTCTACCTGAATGTATGAGTATAGGCTTGTCTAGTCCCCATTTTCTTTCTAAAAAGAAAAGGAAGTTGACTATTCTGTCCTAATATTCTACACTCTTTGTTCTTTAAGTTTCTAGCAATTTTCAATAGTGATTTGATTTCCTTTTACAAATAATTGCTAGGATAGTTCTTGTGTCTGGGCACAAACCACCATTTTGGAGAAACTTATTTTTTTAACCTAAGAGCTAAACTTTGGCATTCAATAATACTTAGTAATTTATCTTCAAAAATACAAAAATCTTTTATCACTAAAAAATTTACTAATTTAGCTTTTACTTATATATAAGTAGGCAGAAATATCTTTTGAGTGTTTACTTTTGTTATTTTGTTTGCTATAAATTCCATTATAGCAGATGGCACATATTTGTCATGAATTATGTATGTGAATTGTTTTAAGATTAGTTTGTTCAATGTGTAAATACCGAATAGTTTCTCTGGTGTGAAAAACTACAATGGTACATAAGATCCTAATGATATAATTGACAATGTGAAATAGGAAGAAAAGGACTAAAGGCGTAGGGGAAGTGGGAAGGGTAGGGGAAAAGTAATAAGGGAAAAGAAAAAATATAAGCAAATGAAAAAATGGAAATAAAGTCTTTGTAAATAGGGAAGGGAGGAGGGGGTGAAGAGAGGGCAGGGACAGGGGAAAAAATAACAACCAAGATACATCACGTAAAGGTACAAGATCCCAATGATGAATGTAACTGTACTGTGTACCTAAAAAGTGCCAATAAGCTCAATAGGGAAAAATTAGTTTGTGCAATAACTAATAATTTTTAATCTCAAAGGATTTAGGAAAGTTCTTAATATATTTAAGAATGATTTTTAGGAATAATTATCTATGTAAGGAATTGGGATGAAATTTTTCATCAGAGAAGTGTGTTTCAAAGACAGATGCACAGAATACTTTGAATGTGGTAAAAAGGAACACAGATGAGTAGATAATACCAAGCAAATGTGATCAGTCCATCCCAGGCCTTTATAGATACTCGTGGTATTTTTCATTTCTTTCACAATGTAAACTATTTTTACTTGTTTGTTAGGATTTTTTTTTTAATTCCAAGAATTAGAGAGCTCAACTGTGCCAATATTTAGTCACAGATCTGAAAAAAGAGTAAGAATTTTTAAAATGATGTGGTCAGGTTGCCAAACAAAGTAAAGGAAGAAGATTTTATGGAGTCTTCAAACATCTAGAGAATATATCTATAAAACTATACAAAGTGTTATGTAACAAAGTTAAGCTTAAAATAACAAATACTCCCTTTGATATCCAATAGAATTATGATAGTACTGTATATACAATTCTGAGGTTTAAGAAACAGTAACTCTTTCTGGACCCCATAGCCAAATTATTACAGTAGAGGTATTAAAGAGATAATAATAGATGAAAATCATCAGGAAAATAAAGTAGTAATTCCTGCTGACCTGCTAATTAGATTTTCTGTAGAGAATATCTCAGAGGTTGCAAATTGGTAGCACTCAGACCAGATTCACCCCATACATTATTGGCTATATGTTTTAATTACAATGTTTAAGATTTGGGGGATTGCTGGGTGTGGGGGCACACGCTTGTAATCCCAGCACTTGGGAGGGTGAGGCAGGAGGATCACTGTGAGTTTGAGACCAGCCTGGGCTACACAGTGAGCTCCAGGTCAGTCTCAACTACATAGTGAGACCCTGTCTCAAAAAAAAACCACACACACACAAAAAAAAGATTTTGGGGATTTAGCCAGGTGTGGTGCATGCCTGTAATCCCAGCACTTGGGAGGCTGAGGCAGGAGGATTGCCATAAATTCAAGGCCAGTCTGGGCTACCTAGTGAGTTCAAGGCCAAACTGAACTACATAGTCAGACCTTGGCTCAAAACAAATGAATAGATTTGGGGCATTTTACATATGGTATGCATGCTGAGTTTGTCTTGAAAATTCCAAAAACTGGACTCAAATTCTCATACAGCAACAATTAGCCGGGCCCCTAGTAACGCACCACTTTAAACAGAGCTTGTACCATCCAGCTCCCTGTAGAGCTCAGCACTCACTAATTGAAGCCAGGCATCAGTTGGCATTTACATTATTCTTGGATTTTTGTTTTACATTTAGTACAATTAAGAACAAATTAAATGTTTCTTGTATCAATATCTCGAATGCAAGCAAAAACAAAAAATCATAGACCACATGTTTTTGGAGGAAAAGAATAGTGTCTTCCAAACTTCCAAAGTTTGTCTTCCAAAGATTGTGATTTAAGGACTAGCTATATACTTCATCCATTTAAGTTATTTGGTTGGCCGTATAAGCATTTAAGGATTTTTTTTTTCAAATCAACTTATAAGGTATACTTTATGCCTAATAAACTGCATTTACTTTGTATAGTTTGATACATTTTGTGTATGTATTAAATCTGTGAAACTAGCACAATTACGATACGTAGAATATTTTCATTGCCAAAAGTCCCATGTGTCCTTCTGCATTCAGTCTCACTGTCACCTTTCCCCTCATCATCTTCACCTCTGCCTCTTGGGACCCCTTCTGTTACTGGATATAAATTTCTCCTATTCTAGAATTTCGCTTGTAAGAATTAGTATAAATTCCTTTGTGCCTGGATTTTCCACTCAGCCTAACATTTTTGAGACTCATCTGTGATGAGTATATCACGAGTTCATTTCTGTTTTTTGCAGAGGAATTTTCCATTGAATGGGTATACTACAGTTTATCACCTCCCAGGATTTCTTTCCCAATGTTTTTGTTATTGTGAATAAGATCATTTTGAGTATTCTTGTATCAGTCTTTTTGTGTATATTTTCTTTTTTCTTGTGTGAATTTCTAGAAGTAGAATTGTTGAATTTTATGATAGGTGTATGTTTGATTTTATAAGAAGCTACTAAATTGCTCTCTAGAGAATTTCACCATTGTACATTTCCACCAGCAGTGTGTGAATTTCATTTACTCTGTATCCTGGACAACACTTGATAGTAGCTATTCTAATGGTTATATTGTAGTATTTCATTATGATTTTTGTTGTTGTTGGTTGGTTGGTTGGTTGGTACCAGGTATCGAACTCTGCTAGGCACCAGGTATCCTTGCTCTTGCTAGGTACCAGGTATCCTTGCTCTTGCTAGGCAGGCGGCAGAATCATTGCGCTAAGTCCCCAGCCCTTCATTGTGTTTTTAATTTGTATTTCCACAATGACTAGTGATGGTGAACATCTTTTTACATGCTTATTGGCCTTTTATGCTCCTTTTAAAAAAATATAACAGCTTTATTGTGAAAGAATTCAATATTGTACATTCAATCCATTTAAAGTATTCCATTCTCTGGTTTTTAGTATAATCACAGAATGGTACAGTCATCACAATAAACCAATTTAGAATAGTTTAGAACACCAAAAAGAAACCTCATGTCTCTTAACAATCACTACCCTCAATTTTGCCCACCTGTGGAACCACTAATCCATTTTCTGTCTCTATGGGTTTGCCTTTATGGAAATTGCATAAAAATGAAAATGTGGCCTTTTGTCACTAGCTTTTTTTGGCGGGGGGGATCGAATTCGGGCCCTTGAGCTTGCGAGGCAGGAGGTGGGGAACCACTGAGCTAAATCCCTGGACCTGTCACTAGCTTTTTCCCTCAGCATGTTTTCAAGATTCATCAATGTTGTAGAATATATATATATGTCTTATATAAAGTATTGCTCAAATCTTTTGCCAATTTTTCATTGAGCTGCTTTTAATTATTGAATTATAAGAGTTCTTTACTATATTTTGGGTACAGTCCTTTGTCAGTTACATATAGATCCAGTATTTTATTCTAGTCTTGTGCCTTACTTGGTACCTAAGTTTTCAGTAACCATTAGCTTTAAAGCTATGACTCATTATACGCTTATTAACAATGAGTTTTTATATTTTTAAAATTTTATTCTATTTAGACCAAAAATTGATTTCTTAAACAATAAACAAACTATTCCTGATGATCAGATTATGTTAATAAGAAACTACAACTAAATGTTATATTAATACTCTAATAGAATGCTCATTTAGGCATGGAAGTAATTTCATTATTTTTTAATTTTTTTTTCAGTTTGTCTAGAACAGAAAGGTTCCTCACCTGTTGTACTTACTAATGAGAAATCTACACATGATCGCTTACCACTTCCACAAGGGAGTCCATCTCCTACAAACGAAGTAGCAGATATGTGTTTATATGATGAATGTAACTCTGTTGAAAGACCAAAAATTGAAGAAAAACTAAATGACCAAGAAATAGCTGACAGAATAATCCAAAAGAAAGAAACTAAAGATCACCTTGAACTTGACTACACAGTACCACTTGTTGAATCATCTACCTCTTCAAGAATTAAAAAAGCATGTTTTGAACATAGTAAAAACCAGGAGAATGATTTGGATCTTTTGAGCAACTTTATTATGCTGCGAAATAAATATCAGACTTGTATCTCAAAGACTGAAGTGATAGACCATGGTAAAAAAGATGGTGAGTAATTTGGTAATATTTTAGCATTAATATAATAAGTTGAAGTCAGGCGTGGTGGTGCACGCCTGTAATCCCAGCACTCGAGAGGCTGAGGCAGGAGGATTGCTGTGAGTTTGAGATCAGCCTGGGCTACAGAGTGAGTTCCCGGTCAGTCTCAACTACATAGTGAGACCCTGTCTCAAAAGACCCCCCCCAAAAAAAATAAAATAAGTTCAAGAACTAAGTGCATAATTTATTATAGAAGATAAAGAAAGCCCTTCTGGATAAAATTCTATTATTTTTCATAGTCAAAAGAAAAGCCATTGATTCATAATTCTTCTTGTATGTGGAGATGAGTATAGATATATAAATATAGATTAGATACAGATATCAGTATGTTTTCCCAAAATTTAAAAGTGCATTTGAATTTGTAATAAGACCTACTCTATATACAACTTGCTTTCTACAATGTGGCCAAGTTATTGCTGGAGTTGTAATTGTCATATTTCCTGCTTCCAACCACATTAAAGGTATAACATGTGTTATAATCTTTCATTTCTAATAAAAAATAGTCATTCTAGAGTAATTTTGGTGGACATTACCCTGATGAAATAAATGCACAAATACTTGTGTGATTTAGAGCATAGTTAGGTCTTACTGTCCCATGTGTCTTATGAACAGTCTCAGTTTATAATGTCATTTTGGTTGCATATAGTTCTCCGAAAGATATGACACCCTTTTATAGATCTACTTAATATTATATGACTTTGTCAGTCAAAGCATTTTTCATGGTGAACATTTCGGTGAAAATGCAGGACAGTATTTTTAAATTCCAGAATTAAATTTTCTTTATAGTACATAACCACCTTATAACTTACCTTGTTAGCTGACAATTCTATATGTAACAGAGATCATTCTAACAAATATTCATACTGTAATTCAAGTATATCTTTTGCATAAAAGAATGAGCAAAATATAAAGAATTATAAGTATGCTTACAAAGACTGGAATTTTTAAGGATTTGTTATTTTCTGATTTTTTTTTTTTGGTACCAGAATCAAACTTAGGACCCTGCATTTGTAAGACAGGTGCAGTGCCACTGAGCTAAAGGCCTGGCCCTTATTTTTTTTTTTTTTTTATATTTTCGGAGTCAATTCATATTTGGATTGTAAAAGGAATTCACTCCAAAATTAACCCTGCCATCTTTTTCTGGTTGCTATACTTGTGATACTGCTTATAATAGAATATATTAGCAATATAGAATGAAGACAAGTAGAAAGAAGGGTGAAAAATAGAAAGAATTTTAAATAAAAATTCGCCATTAGTTTACTGAAGAATTAAAGGCATATTAATGTTAGATGGCAATGCTTCTGTACTCCTTATGTTTCCTCAGTTGGTGATATGCTCCTGGCTTCTTTGCTGCTTTATACTTTTTCCCAAACAAGGCTGGAAGGAATTGTCTAAATTGTAAATTTGAAAACTGTAAATTGGGCATAAGCTTAGAGGAACAAGGAACAGATATTCTCAGCTTCTCCTTATGTCATGACTCTCTCTTCCCAATAGGGAATTTTCTCCCCATCCAGCATATCTTCAGGACTAGATGCACAACTCTGCCTAAAACTGGTGCTTAGTTAACAAGCTATTTGACTCTCAAATTAAGCTCTGTTCTCCAGTGTAGCCTTTATTTGTGAGATTTCCCATTGATGGAACAAATTACTTGATGGGACACCTTAAAGGAGGAAAAATTTGTTTGGCTCATGATTTCGGAGGATTCAGTCTGTGGTTGGTTAGCAACAAGGCAAGAACATCATGGTAGAAGAGTGTGGCATAAGAAAGCTGCTTAAAAAATAAAGAAGAAAAGCCAGGCATGGTGGTACCCACCTATAATCCCAGCACTCAAGAGGCTGAGGCAGGAAGATCTCCACGAGTTCAAGGCCAGTCTGGGCTAATAATGATTTTAAGGCAAACAGCAGAGGAAGGAGAGGTGACCAGATATAGATGGCAAGGCCACACTTCCATAATACACTGAGACATGCCCAGAAGTGTGCTCTCTGTGCATTTTTTAACCCAGTCACATTGACATATCATAAATAACAGTCACAATTCGTAAGAGAGGTTATATTTTACTTTGTCTTTATGGTTAATTCAGGGTGAGAAATATTATACCTTTTTAGTCTTCCTCAAGAGTTTCAGTAATTAATATTAGTTGACTCTATTTAAATTATTTATAGTTAATTGAAAGTATTACTTGAAAACAATAATACAGTGAAGCCTAAGATACACTCCATTATTATACTTTCAGCCATGTATTTAAATATCATATATTAAAATGTGTCAGGATGTATTGTATTTATAAAATTATCTTGTGTGTGATCTCATTATCAGTGCTGTATATATTGCTATATAGTAAATAGATAAACCGATACAGATACAAATAGTATCTTCTGCCAATGCCTAGGAAAGAAAAAAGAGAAGGGAAGATTTTAGAAATCAGTGTAATGCTGTTGCTGACCTTGAGATGCTCATGGTGTAATAAAATAGGTTAGACGTACAGATAGATCATTTTAGTACTGTGCACAGAAGGATAAGGAAACAAAAAGTGAAGGCACCTGCCAGTCTGGAAGGTGGAAGGAACGTGGGAAGTTACATAAGACTTCATGTACAAGGTGCCTGAGGGCTGAGGGTGAGGAACTGGCCTACCTGAGGTGGGGTGGACATGGGGAGGGCTTGGGCCCGAGGAGAGGATCGACTGCAGAAGGAAGCGCATATAAAAAGTCACAGAGAAATGAGGCAAAATGTCGGGGCCTTTTATGTATCAGGAACTGTGCATGAGGTTTACACCTATAACGGTATTTAAGTAAGGACAGGGCTGGGGATTTAGCCACCTGCCACCTGCCTCACACCCACAAGGTCCTGAGTTTGATCTCCAGTATTAAATAAATAAAGTAGGCACATTTTTCCTGTACTTTATATATGAGGGCACTTGGACTGTTGTCAGAACCAAAGCTAAAACACTAACCTGCTGTCAGTTCTTTCTGTTTTTATTTCCTACTTGGCACAGTGTCAGGTCTATTGATTTGAATATTTCCTTTTAATACTGATGTGTTTCAATGAAGAAATTTAACAAAGATTATAGGAGAAAGCATTAAAGTAAAGCGACACTAAATTTCTCCTGAAAAACACAAATTAATGTTTTTTGTTAGAATTTCAAAATCAAGAAGAATTGACTCATAAAGACGAAATTCCTGTTGTGTCTACTAACAAAACTCTAGAGAAAATGAATCAGGAAAGAGGAGCAGATAACATCATTGAAATTCAAGCATCAGGTACGTGACATGCTTTTAAAATATATTCAAATTTACTTAATTTGAAAGTCCTTTCCTGGATATCTATTACATTCCTTACTTTCTTTTACTTCACTTGTTTCAAAAATTTCTTCATTCCACTTTCTTTCACATTATTTCCAGAATTAGAATGCCATGTTCACTCTCTGTGCCCCTCCCTACCCACTTTTCCAGTCCCCTGATTGTTACTTCTTTCTTCATTAAAACTCCTGCTCCCTCCGTAACTTGCATCAGAGAAAAACAAACTGCAACTCCTCAGATTCTTCTGCCAAGTCTGGAAAATGAACTGCTAATGGGTGCTCTTTATGTTCTCTTACCTACTCATAGGGTGGCATAGATAAGTTACTCTTGGTTCCTGTATTGATTAAATTTTTGTTCAGTTGCAAAGAATATGCTTTGATTCCTAAAGCACATCCTGCTTAGGAATGGCATGCTCATTATTAAAATCAGTAAGGAAATATGATACTAGTTCTCAAATACCTTTTCCTTCTTTTGGTTAAATATTATGTATGCTCTCTAAATGTTTATGCACATCATTAATGGAAGTCCAGTAAAAACTAGAAACATCTGTCATTGGTAGAAATTTGGCTTAAATCCGTAACCTAATATTGGAGGGAAAAAGAAAATAATGTGATTCTCTCTCTAAGGTTCTTCGTACTTGCCCTGTCAAATGAATTGTCAGATAAATCCTTTCTAATAAGTAAGATAGCTAGACAATTATATAGTTGTATGAGGATTTTTTTACTAGTTTAGAATAAATATCCATATATAAGTCTGTATATAAGGTATTGTTTAGATAGAAGATCAGGTTTCCATGAAGTAGCATGTTCAGTTTGTTATCAAAAAAGAGCATATCCTTATAAAAACATTACTTTTAATGCTTTCATTTTTGCAGCAAGTCAGTGCCAAGCATACTGTTTCCTAGAAGCATCAGCTACTCCTATCTTAAAAAAACTTGTATGCCTCTGTACTCTCCCTGCTGCTAATTGGAAATTTGCCACTGTTACTTTTGACCAAACGAGATTCTTCTTAAAGGAACAAGAAAAATTAATCAATGATGCTATTCACTTAGGTGAGGATAATAATGCACGTTAACTATTATTATTAAGCATATTCTGATATATATTCTAAAATTCTAATATGTTTTGCTTATTTAGGTACAAATGATGAAAGAGAAATAACATTCAAGCACGCTGGTCTTTTACACCTTCTGGTAACGATTAGAGATGTCCTTTTAACATGCAACTTAGACACAGCACTGGGTTAGTTGAAAAAATTTTCTTGTTTTTTCTTCTTAAAATATTCCTTCTAAAAGAACTTACTTTTCAGAAAGAAACATCCTTTAGAAATTAAGTATCCTTCTTACTTCTATTACACTAAACACAGACATTTTGACATAATTACAATGAAATACACACACACGTATATATGTATATGAAAAAAATGTGCGTGTTTGTTGTTTTGGGCAGTATTGTGGATCAAACCCAGGGCCTCTTGCAGCTCAGAACATATACTTTTTAATTCTGATTATGTTCATTAAAGGAAATTGTCTTTAACAAGTATTATCACCCAGATATTTTCTCTTATGTGTCACCCCGATATAAATTTTAGTTTTCATTCCAAAGTTTTGATGAGTATTGAGCTGTAGTGAATCATAATTAGAGTCCTTCTATAGCACTAGCTCAGTTTGTCTAGATTCTGGTTGATAAGTCACTGATAGTCCAGCTGTTTACCCTAAGATTAATGAGACTGTTATAAGCTATCTACTTGGATGAAATTCTTTTTACACCTCAAAGAAATGCATTCACTAAATCACATTTTAGTATTACCATTTGGCTTTTTTTTTTTTTTTTTTTTTTGGGACTGGGGATTGAACTCGGGTCTTTGCGTTTGCAAGGCAGGCCACTGAACCACTGAACTAAATCCCTGGCCCACCATTTGGCTTTTTTTTTTTTTTTGGGACTGGGGATTGAACTCGGGTCTTTGCGTTTGCAAGGCAGGCCACTGAACCACTGAACTAAATCCCTGGCCCACCATTTGGCTTTTTTTTTTTTTTTTGGTACTGGGGATTGAACTCGGGTCTTTGCGTTTGCAAGGCAGGCCACTGAACCACTGAACTAAATCCCTGGCCCACCATTTGGCTTTTTAAAGAATACTGTACAATCAAGATTCTTACTAGAAAACTAATTTCTTAAGCTATAGGTACAAAGCTACTATGAATAATCTAGCTGCCTTGGACATATTTAAGAAAAGGCGTTCTCCTCCTCTAAACTTCTCCAAAGCAATATCCAATTAGGTTGTCCTTTTTCCTCTATGTATAGTGGCTATATCAATCAGCTTCACCTTACTACAATAAAATACCTGAGGCAACTGTATTTATAAAAAGAAAGGTTGTTTGTTTAGCTCATAGTTTGGAGGCTCAGAGGCATGGTGCCTGCATCAGCTCTGTTCTGGTGAGGGCAGCAAATGGTGACACATTGTGGCAGGAGTGTGTGTGGGAGCAAAATGGTCACTTACGGTAACAGAACCTGGACTGGACTGGCTAAACTCAGGCTTTTATGCCAGTCTTCTCAGAAGTACTTTCCAAGGATGGGCATCCAGTAACTCTACCCAAAGGCTCCTTACCACCTCCAAATAGCACCATCCTGGGGACCAAGTCTTTGCATATGGACCTTTAGAAGACTCTCAACTAGAGCATAGGAAAAGAAAGTCTGTGGGATCCCAGGCTGGCCCCAAATTTGTGCTCCCATAGCCACAGCCTCCCTAGTAGTTGGGATTATAGTTATGAGCCATCCAACTGGCTCTGAGTCTGCCTTAATAGGTTCTCAGGGCGATTTGTATGCATGTTTGAATTGGGAACACATCATTAGGTGATTTTTCAAAATTTCTTCTGGTTTTGACAGTCTTTACTTGTAAAACTTTATATTTGGAGGACACAGCTTTGCATCCTTACCATCTTTAACAAAGCCTGTAACTCAATATATTTTTAGTGAACAACTGTATCTGGATTTGGGAGATACAGGTTCAAATCCTTATTTAGGACTGTAATATTGATTATGCCCAAATCAGGCTGTAAGGGGTTAATGCCACAGTTGGTTTGTTTTAAAAAATAAGTCTAGCCAAAGCCTATATATCAAGGTCAAAATAACTCACACCCAAATTCCATTCCCAAAACTAAAACCTTCTAATTTAAAAAAACTCAAAAATAATATTCTAATTATAATCATATATTTTGTTTATTCTGTTCCTAATTCAAGAATACTTTGTCCTTTATGAGCCTTGTTTACATTAATTTCCATAAAAACTACTTACCTTTACCCCAATTAATTACCAATAGAAGTCAACACCTAAAACTGGCCAGGGCCTTTGTCTGTTACACCAACATTAATTGTCCTAACACCCCACTTTCTTTCCTACTTCTGTCCATTAATATATTTTTTCTGAAGCCTGCATCATATACTAAACAAAATACTAAAACATAACTACAGGATCCCTGATAATTTACACCAGCAGTGATTCCTTAGGAAAATTATTTCTTCCATCCTTCATGAAATTTTATTCTGTACTGAGGAGTGAATCTATGTACACTCTCCCCGACGGCTGCATCTTTACATCTTCAGATCTTTTTAAAGTTTTGTTGTTGTTGATGTTGTTTTTACAGGCTCTCCCTCAATTGCCAAGGACAGTCTCAAACTTGGGATCTCAGTCCATCAAGTAGCTGTGGTTACAGGAGTGCACCTCTCTGACTGTCTTAGAAATATTATCTTTAAAGTGGAAATAATCCCATTCCTGGCTCCCAACAGCTGATGTAAAAGATGTAGATGATGTAGATGATAAAGCATGTTTATGAAAGCTCTTGCTATAACTCCAAGCTGAAGAACAGGACATAAGTAGGCACTGACAGGGGTTAACTTGGTCCAACTCACAGGTGGTTCAGATAATCCAGTGACTCAATAGGGAGCTTATTAAAACACAACACTAAACAACAACAAACACCTAAAAACCACATTTCCATTCAAAGTAACTAGGGATAACAGTGTTTTAGGAGAATGTGAATCATTCCCATAGTGCCCTGTGGTGGGACTTAGAAGCCAACTCACATCCACCATCCTTGCTACTGCTGCTGTTGACTTAGCAGAGAGATTGATTCATTAGTCAGCCTTCTGTATCCGCAGGTTCCACATCTGTGTATTCAGAAAAAAAAAATTGCCTATACTGAATATGTACAATTTTTCTTGTTATTATTTCCTAAATAATACAGCAATTGTTTATATGGGTTTATATTAGGTATTATAAGTAATCTGGAGATTGATTAAACCATATGGGAGACTGATGCAGTTATATGAAAATACCATATCATTTTATATAAGATTTGAGTATCTGCAGATTTTGGTATCTGCTAGGTTCTTGGAACCAATTCCTTATGGATACTGAGGGACAATAGTGTATTCCCTATCTAGACTAGGAACTTCTGTGTGGGGGGGGTACTAGGAATTGAACCCAGGGGCTTCATAGTTTGCTATACTTCAGCCCTTTTTATTTTTTATTTTGAGATAGGGTCTCACTAAAATTGTTAAATTGCCCAGATTTGGCTCAATCTTGCAATCCTTCTGCCTCATTCTCCCAAAGTGGGGATTATAGGCATGCATCACTACACCTGGGTAGAATAGGAACATTTTATGGAACCTCTCTTTGTCCTGGAGCCTAACATTCACTCATTCATTCATTCGACCACTACTGAGCATCCATGGTGCCAATTGCTGTGTTTGGCTCCTAGGGACACAGCGGAGGAGTCAAATGAAGTCTCTGTCCTGACAGCCTTTATAGTCAAATAGTGGTAACACACAGGTAAACAACCAAGAGTAGCGATACATACTGTGAATGAGGAAGTACAGGGGCTCACAAAAGCCATTTTCTCTGGCCAAAATGCAGTAATATATTTTGAAAAAATAGCATGGCACCTGGAGGGATGGATAGCACAAAATGAGACATGATGTATAAAGAAAGTCCTGTGGTAAAGGGCTTACTTTAGTAATAAGTTTGGATTTTATTGGATTTAAAGGGCCAGTGGGAATAAGTGAACAGTTTTTAAGCAGAAGAATGATGTGATTAGATTTCTCTTTTTAGTGACCATGCTGGCTGCAGTGGGTAGAGCTGATTAGGGGAAGCAGGACTGGAGGCCACGCAGGAAGCCGTGGGGGGGGGGGGCGGTGCACAGGGAATATTGTTGGTTTGTTGGTTTGTTTAGTACCAGGGATCAAACTCACAACCTTGCACTCGTGAGCCAGGCACTGAGCTAAATCTCTGGGCCTGCACAGGGAGTTTTAAATGTATTGATAAAATTCCATTTGTTGCTGGGTGTGGTAGGGACAAGAGTTTCATTATTTATACTTTATATTTATTTATTTTTTTTTATTTTTCAGCTTTAATTGAGTTTATTGGTACATTTTAGGGATACAGTACAGTTACATTCATTGTTGGGATCATGTACCTCTACATGGGAAGTCTTGATTCTCATTTTTTCCCCTTACCTCTGCCCTCCCTTCACCCCCTCCTCCCCTCCCCATCTACAAACACTTTATTTTCATCTTTTCATTCTCTCACATTTTTTT